AGATCAGCATACTTTACGAATTCATTTCAATCATTGAAACGGACTTTATGTAAACATATTTGTTCAAAGTTAAAGGACAGTCCTTAAATCCAAAATCAAAAACACAAAGAGTACAGATTCCAAATATAATTGTGAAAAAACTCAGCATATTAAGAAAATAAACCAAATTCAGCAATATTTTCGGAATGGAAAGTGGAAACATGGTCTATTAAATTATTACATTAAAATTAATCATTAAATTAAATAATGCATAAAATTATTTATTTGAACTATCCCATAGAACCCTAATTTGTTGCTGTTCCTTTACAAAGAGGAAATAACCGACAACCAATATTCCCTATTATCTGTGATCAACAACAGTTCATAGATTTAATCTAGAATAACTGCACGAGTTGATATGAATTATAAGTTGACGTCGTCTATTTTGCGTGTAATAACGCATTATAATAGTGAAATAACTATGAACTGATATAACATTTCTCTGGCGAGGCATATTGACCGGTGAATGAAACAGTCCACACTTTAGGCTAAACACGCAGACATGTCTCGAGTCAATTGTGCGTGGAAATGAAGCACACAGTGATGAACTCGATGACGGCGAAGTGGATGATGATGAAGAGGGACAGATGGACAGACGACTCGGCAATAGAACCAAGCACATCAAAATGAGGAAACTAGTCTACATAATGTAAGACACATGCGCAACCATCCGCCCAGCCCTCTACCCCATTGTGCGCATGTTCGCCGGTCCGCCCGCCTCATTGCTATGGAGAAACCAAGCCAAACCAGACCCAGACCCAGACACAAGCACAAGCACAGCCTGAAGCACAAAAAGGGGACAAGTGTGTGGAACGTTCGTTCTTCTGGCTGGCTGTTGCTGTTGCTGTCGTCGCTTATTCTTTGTTGTTTCTGTTTTGTAGCCTGGCAGTTACCAAAATGAGTGCAACGCCATTTCCAGCATGCTTTACTTTTCGTTATTTTCCATTGCTTTTGGCCACTTTCTAGCTTCAAGATAGCACGAAAGACGACAGCATAAGCGAGGCTCTCAATCCGTCTGCCTGGCAGTAAAACGTAATGGCCATGGCCAAGAACTCCAGCTACGAAATTGCACCACATTCTGGTGCTTTGGCTCATTACTCGCTCGCTGCTCGGGCCTGTAGTGCATCTAGCTTCTATATATCCACTTGCACATCGTGCCTGACACCATAAACGGAGTCTTCGTCGAGGTGCGCCTGCGCTTTCATGTGACTTATGTCTGCAACTTTTGTATGTATCTATTAGCTACTTTCGAATAAGATACACTGAGAATTTGTAGGAGATCTTATAAAAAGATGAAAATGTTAAAAGAGTTCTGGAATTTGGTTTAGAAGTCTTATCATTTCATGTTAGGAAATGCCAAATTACCGTTAAAACCGTCTATTTCTAGCTAAATATTTAAACTAGAGGCCCTTTTGGTAATATACCCTCTAAAACCTATCTTATATGTTATTAAATGTGCAGTGGAAATTCATGTTTAAAGACGGACATTCATCATTAGTCTTTCCAATTCATTTTTCTTTTTATCTTTCGCTTTTTATCTTTCGCTTTATTTCCTTTGCTAGAAACACAGGTTTCGTTCTTAAACAATGAATCCATATCACAGAATTTCAGGGACTATTCTCTTAATTGTTGCATAGCTGTCAGCTGTCAGAAACAGTTGGAGTTATTATAACCCAAGTTCCAGGCGTAAATAAAATTAGTATCCTTTGCTCTCTCCTGCTCAGACCGTTACTATTTGTACGTCAAAGGAGCAACTCATTTCTGAAATACTTAGCTTTTAAGCCATTTGATTCTAACTAATTTATTCTCCTACTGTATGCCTTTTTTTATCAACAATAACACCCAGGGCCAGTGAAGTTATTGTTGTTTCCAGTTAGTTTACTTTTTTGTTTCTGGAGAGCCCTTCAACGCCTGCAGCATTTTATGGGCTTTGATTAATGCACTTGGCGTTGTTACTGTTGTTGTTATTTTTTTTTCTTCTTACTATTGGCCGGGCTTGTAAAACAGTTCACACAGTTCACATGGCTCTGGCATTTTGAGAACACAACAAGATTCACTGCCTTAGACAATCGGTATATTGGGTAGGTACATAGATATATATGTATATACTTCAGTATATGTATATATATATATATGTACGTAACTTTTCATTTTGTGGTTTTTCAGTGACTTCATTTTCTCAGCTGCTGGCGCTGGCATGCAAGTCAGTTCATTTCTATTATAGCGCCATTGTTTGGAGCTACTATGAATGCGATTTTTATTTTGTTTCATGTTTTTCCACAGCATTATAAAACACATATTATATAGCACACACATGCATATTGTTTGAGCTTTTTGATTACAAAACTAAGCATTTGCAAAAACAAAAAAAAGTTTAACTGTCACGTAATTGTCGCACAGCTGTTGACTTTTAAGTGTTAATGCTGGCTTATTGGCCAAGTCGACTGCAATTCTTTCTTACTAGTTTTGAGCGATTAGAACTTAAGCTTGTGTGCATTAAGTGCATTTCTGCTGGCCAGGTAATTTGCTTAAATTATTCCAAAACTTAACGTTCAGTTTCATTTTTGCTGAGGTTTGAAAAGAAGGAAAGAAGCCGCCCACTTTGCAGTGCATGTCGAAAAAAGGTATAGAAAAAAACGACATATTCTGCTTCTAGGTAACCTCAAGTAAACCAAAGAAAATGCCGGAGAAAAAGGTCTAAGAAGAACTCATGACTCAGTTCGAGACTCGCCACACGCTGACGCTAATGGCCTCAAAAGCTGACGTTGCACTGAGGAGGCGACGACGAGTGGATCTGTTAACTGTTATTTATTTTTTTATACATATTTACTATATAAGTGTATTTATATATAGGTACATATGTATGTGTATATGCATACATATTTTTCTTGCGGTTGCCAATGCAATGGCTACAAAATATTTAAACAATGATAGTAGCAAAATAATAATGAGCTTACGCTGGCATTGGTCACATCAGATCTACAATATACTATATAGTATGCATATGTAGTAGATATGGCGGAGCAGAAACAACGGATATTACACACGCCGTAATTATTGCTTTTCATTTGCAAATAAATGCGATTAGTGTAAATGTGTTAAACAAATAAGGTTTCGATTGCGCAAGACGGTCAAAGTAAAAGTTGCCAGCCATGCTATGCGAGAGCCAAGAAATTGTGCAAATAATATTATCAAAATACTCATAAGTAAATAAATAATGCAAACACTGCGAAAATTCCAGCGATGTATCTTAATCAAAACATAAATATTTGTGCACAGATTTACTAACAAAGGATGCAATTACTGAATGTATTCAATAACTCAAGTTTCCAGTCTCCGGCTCATTACTACGCAGCTCCTGTTTTCGTGCTTCTCCACCAATTTGTGGTATTCAATTGGCCAGTGAGAAGGCAAAAAAGGACATTATTACACATTCATGAGAATGTGCCATTAGGGCGAAACCATCTGCTGAGTTTCAACAATATAGCTGCTGTTTTACAAGATTTTATAGCATTTAGAAAATTGTTTCGAAATTTCACTAAAAATAATTGTCGCTTTCAAGTCGAAGGCCCAAGTAGCTAGTACTCGTTAATCTAATATTAAGTTTAGTATTAGATACTAGATTTAATTTGTTAAAATAAAAATAAATAAAAATTGTCGCTTTATGAAATAAGTAAACAAACAAAAATTCCTTATACCAAGAAATAATTTTTTAAGAATATTGGCAAGATATTTGAAGTGAGCTTAAAATTTATTCTTGGAACAAATTTAAACCCATAGATTAGAAAAGCAACGCAATTGATTGTCTTTCCTCTAACGTTAAGTGATGTTTTCGCGTCGATATTTCTGATATCAACCGTCCACTAATGAACTATTAGAATTGAATCGAAACTCTTTAATATAGTAGAGTATAGTAAAAAGCAAGATTAAATTCAGATTATTTGAATGTTTGTTCTCAAAAATTTTTAACAAAATTTCCGGACTCATTTTACGGGTGCAATTAGCACGTCTATTGTAATTGCTTGTTGATACGCCCCTTTGAAAAGTTTACTCCTTATATGATCTTGATTATGCTGTTTACTGATGTGTATAAATCTAAAAGCAGAGACAAACAAAAAAATATGCCTTGGGGGCTGCGCGTAAGATAAAACTTGAACGAACGTAGACTGTTAAATATCAAACTCTCGAAAGTGGAAAAAGGTGCAAGACTTAATGGCATTATCTTGTATTATTTTGTAGTTCAAAGTTCTTCAGCCACACTCCCCAATATTTTACACTTTCATAGCATTTTCGAATAGCGGAAGCTAAAAATGCAACGCAGCAGCATTGAACTTGTAAGGTTATTTCGCAATCAACTAACCGAGCGAGCGACCGATCGAAACGGCGATCGACGAATCGACGGCCTGGCTCTGTTCTTGACTTGTTTTCGGCGGCTTATCAAGGTGGCCAGCTTTTGGCAAAACTCGACATCGGCTAAAACTAACGACAGCCAGAACAGACGAGGTAGAAGAAGATGCTTGCGCGCGCTCGTAATATAACGAATAAGTAAAGGAAATACTACTACGTGCATTTGTATGCAAACGAAAAACAAAAAAAAAAAACAAACATATTAAAAATAAGAGACGTAGAACAAACAAACACACACATGAAAAGCGTGTGCATAAAAAATGCAAAAACTGGTCGGACGGGTCGCTTGCCTTTGCCGAGTCAAGACAAAGCAGGCCAGAGCCGAGGAGACCAGGCAGGCAATACGCCTGCGTTCCCATCTTCCTCGTAGGAGCTAGAGACAGGACTGGGACTGCAGCACACGGCGCGCTCAACTGGCGGGAGATCGTTCTACAGAATAGTTTCATTGTTGGTACCGTTTTGGCAGACAAACAAGTACTTTATGCAAATGAACTGCATTAATTGTAGAACTATGTATGTAAGTACATATATACAGTTGCAACTTTTTGCATTACCATTTGCATTTCAAAAAGATATTAACACAATTTTACACGCACTCGTTCGCACACACGCTCAGTTACCGAGGAGTAGACACGCATCCAAAATACAAAAATTACAGTTGAAATAAAATGCACACACTAAAAAACGTTTTCGGAACGGCGTCGTGACAAGCGCTCTGTAATACCGCACGAGACAAACCGCGAAGCTCAACTAAAAAGCTGGTCTCAGAACATACAGCGGCAACGGCCACGATCGGCGTCATTCCCAGATGTCGCTGAGCGCCAGCTCTCGCTGTCAGTTTCGTTGCAGCCGTTATCATCAAGTTCAAGTTTTACTCTCTCCCTCTCGCCATCTCTCTGAGACTTCAACAGTTGGGTAAATATGTATGCGAATATGTATATTTTTTATCGAAAAAATATTTGTTTTGTAAATACTATTGCACTTAAAATTAAAACGCGAGTAAAATAAAACATACACATTTGCTGAACACACAACAACAGCAGCAGCCACAACCACCAATGGGTCCTAATGGGAGCGTGCAATGTCTGAGAAGAACGTGAGTATATCCTGTATGTTGAATTCCAAATTGATCATGGCGCCCGCATAGCATTTCTGTATACGCTCCTCCAAATAGTTATACTGTGCTATAAACTCCTCCTGCATCGCATGCCAAACCACCTGAAGCAAATTCTCCTCCTCACACAAATGTTTCTCTACCTTCTTATAAAGGTTCTCCAGACCCTTTTTCACCTCACGTGCTGGATACTGACTGATCACTTTGCGTAGCTCCTGCTTAGAATAAGCCATTTGGTAGCTTATTTCGGTTTCTTTGACACCCTGCGCCACCTTCTGTTGCACGCCTTCGAAAAATAGCTGGAAATATTAAATGCACGTATTAGTCTTCAAAAATATATTATACATCATGTAGCTAAAGAAATTGTATTTTCTTCATAATTCTACAATTTAGGTATTAAAATACGTATATGAGTAGTTGCTTGAAGTTTGGGTAAATTTTTATTTTATAAATGTAAGTACGTATGTATGTATAATTAATCAACAGAACGTTTTGCGTTACAGTTATTTAAACGTGTTATTATATTCAATATATTTGTTTGTTGAATTTGTCAATATACTATAAAACTTGTGCCCTAAGTTTATTTTTATACACTATTAAGTGAAGCCCATAATTTACGAACTTTTTCATATTTATATAATTTATGCCAAATATTAAACTGATGGGTTTGCTGTTAAACTTATGTTACTTATGATAAGATATACTTCTAATGAGGGAAAAACGGCTCTTAAGATTTTGTTTTTTGAGTAAAAATAATAAAAAATAAATTCAAAAACCATCAAAGCTTATATTTGAAAATTATAGCGGAAGTTAATAGGAAGCGATATATTTAGGTAGTACTCGCGTTTTAAACATGGAAGCTATATACAACACTATTTATTTAAAAGGAAAAAAATTTTAAAAAATTGTCTTTCCTCTGACTTAGGAGGAACCAAGTTTTGTTTATATATATGGGGGTCGCCTGCTTTCTTTTACTCTTTGGGTACAGGGCATAAAAATATGAAATATCCTTGTTCTATTACTTACATTCAGTTTTTCCAGCGGCCTGCCAAAGTAGTGCGTCACATAAGCTTTGAGCGCATCGTTGTAACGCACTTTGGCCTCCTTTTTCAAACCGTCCAAGCCACGCACCTTGAGTTGTGCCAACAACGAATACATATGATGATAATTCTCCATACGGACCACCTGATGTGGCGTCTTGGGATGTTCATGCGACTGTTCGCTTATTGTCTCGAATATAGCATTGACCAATTGCAGATACCATCGCTCCATGTCGGTTCGTCGATCAGATTTGCGAAAAATTCCCTCGGCCGTTTGAGCGAAATTCTCAAAGTTCTCGACATAAGGCAAAATTCCTGCCTTAGAGCGCTTCGGCAGTTTCGACTCTTTGATGGACTGCATTTGTTGCTTCATGAAACTATCAAAGTTACGCTTCACCTGCACCAGAGTCGAGGCGAAAGTCATGCTAAGGAAGGAATGTGTGTCCTGAGCGGACATAACGTGTTGCGTCAGACGCACCAGCACGTATAGAGAGTAGCTATAAGAAAGACCCCTTAATTCCTGTCGTGATAAAATTGTCGGAATTACTCACAAGCTATCGACACGCTCAAAGCTTTTGATAAAGATAACCAATTCGGGCTCGAGACAATCGAAGAGTCCCATCATTAAATTACGCACATCCTCGTTGATTTGCCGATCGATGCGCTTTTGTGGAAATGGGCCATCGGTCGAGGGCGATGCAGCTGTAAAGGACTGAGACATGTCGACGCTTTTTTCCATCACCTCCAGTGTTGTTTGCGTATTTTTCGTTGTGGGGCTGATCACATCCATTTGAAAGAAATTTATGCAGAACAGCTGCTCCTGCAAGGCAATGGGTTCCAGTTCGGCGAGCACCTTTTCCAGCAGAGCATCGAAGCGTACACGATCGGCGCTGTCCACGCCAGGGCCCCATTGGTCACGGTTGACGCCCAACGTACCATAGGGCACTGTTGAAACGGCAGCCTTGCGCGACGTGGTCGACGCGTCCAGATCTTCCCGTGAGCTGCGCAGCTTATCAGACACCTGCATTTTCGCCTAAACCATAAGAAATACATCTTAAGTTGCAATCACTCAGGTATGACCAATTAGTACATACCAAATTGAAAAAGTTTCTCAAATCACGATCGTAAATTTTGCACAATGAAGCAGTATAGACCCGCATCAGACCCGCATATGTCTTGTTATCCATAGCCTTGGTCCAGTGCATTAATTCGGTGTATGGCGCCAGCGACTGATGCACATTTGAGTGATTGGGTAGCACTAATTCGTTGCTAGTTAGCGGCAGATCGCCAATTTCGTTGCCTATATGTATGAACATATTGTTCATGTAACGACTAATGAATATTGAAAACTTTTGTTTCCATTTTTCAAAGCGTTTGCGCTGATCCTGCACTGCCTCAAGTCGTAGCAGAGCCGAATCGATATCACTGTTCATGGCTTGCTGCAAACACTGAGCCGCTGCAATAGCTGCCTTAATACCAGCCTCGGTTTTAAAATCCGGATCCTCCAGAGCTTGCTGCTGTTTGTGCGGCAAGTCGAGTTGGGTCTGACGATATCGATATTACTTTAATAATGATTGATTTTTTTTTTAGTTTCTCGCTACTTACAATAACTTTCTCTAGCTCCTTCATTAGTTTGATGTTGTTATTATTGGCAATCTCGATCATCGCGTTTTTGCCACCTATCTTCTCCATGGTTTCCTTCACATGCCCCAGAATATCCTCATAGGAGTCCAGACGTGTTTCAAACTTATCCGCTTCGTTGATGGCATTATCAATATGCTCCATCATTTTCAGTACTTTTTGCTCCGACGCCAGCACACTTTGTATATTGGCCTGAAACAAGAGACAGATCAGCATCCTTCCTTAATGCGATGAAATCTACTTACGCCATCCAAATCGTGCAGCTCTTTGGACAGCTGTTCGATGAACTGCTCCGCATCTTTGATGGCAAAATCACACTCCGAAAAAAGTTTGCCAAGCTCTGTGGCTTCCCGGTCCGTAAGTGCCGTAAATTCTTGGGCCTCCTCTTCGGATTCCTCACCATCGGTTTGCTGTGCCTTCAATGCAGCATCTCCCGTACGGCCTGCTGCAATCTTCTCAGGAGATTTCTCCGACAACCAGGCGCTGGGAATATTGCGAAACTCGGCGCGCTGTCCCCGCACATTTTTCTGGATTTGCCTATTCAGCACAGCCAAAAAGTTTTGTCGCTCATGCGGATGCAAAGCGTACCATTTGTACAACTTTTCCAACTGAATGTCGAATTCGTGCGTTTCCAGCTGATCATTTCGCCCATCGACCCACTTAATCTCGTCTAGCGCCCAGCTGCGTTTTCTTTTGTACTCATTCTCCCGCTGCTCGGACTGCTTTACCAGACACAAGCTGACCACCGGCACTGTTATAGGCGTCGTCGTCACCACGCAAAGGTAACACGCCCGCTTGTCTTTCTTTTTAAACGTTTTAGTCACCGTCACCACAGAGAGTAATCGCTCATCGCTGACACTGAAGAGCTCCTTTTGCAGAATATGCTTAACGTTGGCCAAGGCGCCAATCGTGAGCATTGCGGGGAATGTTTGCAGTAGTGCAGTTCGCTAAGTAATTGTTTAAATACAACCAACCTATTTACTTCCAATTGAAAGAACGCCTCCGCAAGTAACAGCTGTTTGGCGAGTAGCCGTAACCGCTGCTGCTTACCAGCACTAACAACATTTGAATAAAAAGTGGGTATTCGCGGTATCGAGTACTCCAGTCGATAATCGATACACAAAGGTATACTTGGTTGGTGAGTGTGCAGTGAAAATTTGTATAGTTCGTTTTTAATTGTTTATTCCAATTTGCAGAAACTTTTGAGCAAACATGTTGGTGAAACACATCGTTAAGCAAGGGCTTCTGCTCAGAAATGGTAAATGCCACAAACCACAAAGCGTATTTCATGCGGCCTTTAACCTTAAAAATTACATAATAGTGCATCGCTGGGATTTCGCTTTGCAGGACCCCATCGCTTATTATTAATTGATCAATTTCTCAATTTCAGCTGGTGCCGTGTCGCGCGCCGCATACCACGTTGGGGACCACCAGCATTCCACAATGAACGATCTGCCAGTGCCCGCTGGAGATTGGAAGGAGCAGCATAGCCAACGGAACACCAAGTATAACATCACCCTCTTAACTGGTATTTTGGTTTTGGCTGGCACCATTGGCTTTGTAAGTTCCTCTCTAGCCAATTAATTAACTTGTTGCTAATTTATCTTGTATACATATTTTCAGGTCAAGACCTCTGGTGTGATTTACCTAAACTCAACCCCCCCAAGCAGCTTGGACTAGATTAACCCTAACGTGTAAATTGCAGAAGCTACTATGTGTTAAATAAGCTTAACTTGGCGAAATAGTAAATCACACATCCAATACAGTTTATCAAATTATTTATTTGTGCATTTAGTAGACGGGACCATCGTCCAAGTTGTCATCTTCTTCATTATAGGCTTCACCATTATCGAAATAGCTGTTCCCATAGTCATTCTCCTCATCCATTTCATCGTCCAGTGCCGCCTCGGGATCTTCTTGATCTTCATCTTCATGATCTGAGTCGGACTCCTGCTTAACTTTAACCTCATCGGTGTCGTTATCGCCACTGGTCTTGAGTTCTTTTTGCTCTAGAACCTTCAGTCTGTCTTCAATGTTTGTCTTTTTAGCTAGTATTTTGGGTTTGGCATCCACTCCACGTCGTTTGCGATGTGTCGTGTTCAACTCCCGGGGCATGGCTTTGTAGTTGAATTCGGGAAGAGCCTTATGCTTTAAACGCTCCACCGCTTTCTGTGAAATGAAAATGTACATTATATGCCTAAAGTGGTTAGAATAGACACGCTGGCTACCTCGCGCCAATCCTTAAGTTCTGTTTTCTGTAATTCCTGGCTTGCCGAAATTATGTAGTAGGGCGAGTCGCGCATGCGGTTCAGAAAGTCTTCCTTCCAGAGAAGCTGATAGTTCTGTACGGCAGTTGTCTTGGGAAGATAATAAGCCTTTTAATATGCTGTTTATTTTAAATATTTAGCTATTACTTCAAGTGCAATGGGCTTATTGAGCACTGGCGGAAAAGTTGGTGGAGGAGCTGTTTGGACTTGTGGCATATCTTTGCCCACGCACCCAAGGGCTTGTAACTGCTCGGCTGTAAGTGTGCCTGTCTTTCCACCACGCCCACGTCCAGCCATTTCAAATTTGTTGTACTTGTTGTTTAAAGCGACAGAAAAGTAAACACCGCGCACGTTTATTTTGATTCGTGCTCTTGTGGCAGAGTTGCCAAAACATGCAAGGCATACCATATGTTCCGAAAAACAGCGCTACCACACTTTCGGAGTATAATTCAAATGATTTTAAATACAATGTTATTATTGCGATTTGCACTGTTTGACTTAAACTATTAAATAAAATAGACAATAATATCATAAAACATTGAAACTTAGTTTTGCGATGTTTAAGCTATTTACTATATTCGCTAATGTTCCGGCATTTCTATTGGCTCATCTGTTGGCGCCAATCCCACTTTTTGCATTAGTTCCGTCAATTTTTGAGCTTTTCGATCCTCATTATGAGCTATAACAGTGCACAAATGCTCCGTAAGCAATTCTTTTTTCTCCGATGCACTGTGCAAATCCATTTTTGCCTTGAGAAACTGAGCCTCAATTTTTATGTATTGTTTTCTGCAATGAATAAAGGCATTAATTTTTATTTAATATAATTCAAAGCCCTATTGTTAAAAACCTACTCTACTGTGGCGAAATGTAAAGAGGCATTGTCGATTTGCTTTCGCAGCAGTGCAACATCAACAGCCAGATCGCTCTCCAGCTTCGAGAGTTCGTGTCGTATTTCTTCAATTTTACGCGACTCGGCGGCAGTTTTTTGAGTATGCTGTTCAATGGCTTCGTAAAGCATTTGTTTTTTCTGCTTGTTCTGTTCCTGTATCATTTTTCTATGCTGCTCGAAATCCTTCAACGAAATACCCTTGAAGGGTGAGTCTGTGTTTAACCTATCCCCATTGGAGTCCTTTGAACTTGGCAGTATACTGGCATCATCATCCGTGGCAGTCGTGTTTTTGCTCATCTTTAATATTGAGCTATCATCTGTGACTTCACCGTCAGTGCCCTCTGCCGACGTGGCTGCATTTTTTCCATTCTGTTGTCGAGCTGTTGGTTGCACAGAACCGCAGTAAAGAGCTTGGACAAGTGAGTCAGATAGATCGCGTTCCAAGTTCAGCGAATCTTCTTTCCTGACGTCATCAGCGACGATCGCTTCAACTGGTGCGGGGGCTGGAGCGGAAGCTGCTAATGGTTTGGCCTTGGCTGTTGTTGCTGCAACTTGTTGATGTTGCTGTGAATGCTGAGATTGTTGCCTTTTCAACTGTTCAGCTTTCCCGGAAATCTTATCGGGCATGCGCCTTATGCCGGGCAGCTTCAGAGCTTGCTTCACTGAAAATGTATACATACATACACAAATAATAGATTAACATTTGTTTTGTTTAGCGCACACACACATATATGCATACATACATATACATATATGTATGTATGTGGATCCCTTTGCTTTAGCGTATCTAATCAGCACACTTACTTGCTTCAGCACTTGGCCTACCATTCTGCTTCACTCCAGTTATCTTTATAATTTCATCCTGGCTAAAACCATTAAACTTATCAGCCATAATGCGCCGTCAATAAATAATTAGCCATTAAATTGCGGAACTAATAACAACAATGCACACATCAGCAGCAACTACGGAAAGCAGCGTTGCCACCCATCTGGAAAAGATCACTATTTATCGATAGCGATCTCAACGAAATATAAACACAGAAATCGAATTTAAAAAAACTGTTTATTTTAACAACTTAATGCCCAGCTCAGAACGCAGCTCATCCACATTTTGTTCCCAACGCTCCTCCCAGTAAACCGGCAGTAACGGCTTCATACGCTTACCATTATCAATGGCCCAGGGCAAGTACCGTTTTATGTATTCACGACGCTGCCTAAACAAACAATTAAAAAATCGCCAAAAACATGGTTCAGTGAACTTCATACGACAACAAAAACTCACTTTGGGCGCAATCGCACCGCACCGAACACCGCTCCACCATAGCACATCGGCAATCCGGTATTTAGTGCTTCAACCCACTTGACGGCCACTTCGCCGAGCATGTTCGTCGGCATGTCCAGCACCGTGTGGACAAGATCATGGCATTCGCGATAACGTGTCATCAAGTAAGCCAATTTTGGATCGTCTAAGAAGCGCACGGGCATGCGTGAGTCTGGCGTTACTTGCTGGGGATTAAGGAATGAGTTAAAACTTTCCGAATAATATGCATCTAAGATAATATAATTTGGCAGATTAGCTGTAAGAACTTCATCTTCGAGGAATTACTCGTAAAATAATGTAAATAAGCGAGAAGCGAATCAGGGTAGAGATAGGACTTTACAAAGTTAAACTGAATGAAGAGCATTCGTATCAGAGTTGGATCTTTTCAGCAGGTCTGAATGTAGTTCCACTACTCAATAAGGTTGCAACAACGATTTTTATCCCTCACGAACAATGAAGGCGACAAAACAAGGAATTTAATTAGCTGATAACTATAAGCCCTTCTTCACTTACATTATCTTTGAGGAACTTTGCATAAGTGGCACCAAACGTGTTTTCCGGTAAAGCTTCTAGGCATTTAAAATCAATGGTGCTTGTGTTGATGCGTGGCTTCTCGGCCATGATGCGCTGTCCTTCCTCAGACTGTTGCACGGTCTTCAGTATGTCCCATAGCGCATCCTCGCCTGTAGTCTCCCCTAAACAGGCAATCATGTCATGGCGTCGTGGATCCAAAATTGCAGCTAACGATGATCCTGCTCCTAGAAGTAGTTTCTGAAAACCTGTAATCTCGATGCGTTGCTCCAGAAACTCCCTTTCGAAGGCGTCTTTAGGGGGCTCAGACATTGTTGGCGCTTCAGTGGTCACCGCTCTCCTAATGGCTACACTTCCAATGCCATGTGTGGTCATATGCCTCCAGTAAGGCCGCAACATAATCTAAGACGACAAAGAAATAAGCTCTTGAATTCCCATGAATAGTGTCTAACTACACCTAACTGACCTCATCACCATCATTGAAGCTCGACTCTAATTATGCATGTATGACTCCGCTCATAAACTCGACCCTGACTGCCCAGCTTACCGCTGCTACTGAACCGGCCCCCGGCATTTCGTACGTGCGACTCTGCTTTAGCCATTTGGCTTCAATAGCAACAAGTTGAAACGAACAATTTGTCAATAGACCACACTGCGGCGCAACATCCCAAACTTTATACACACGAACAATAATTTTCTATTTTAACTTGCTGAAAAAATCTTATTTACTCTTCTCTGCCCCGGCACTTGTCCGACCGTTTTTGAAAACCTGTTTCTTGCGCACTCTATATTCGCTTATAAAAACAATTAAGCCTAGCAAAAGTACCACCTAAGGGGCATGCTGTGGTTATTTATTGTCTCTATCTCTTCAAGTTTATTGGCTTTTTTGATGAGTAACAACATAGAGACTCCCACTAAAGTATTTTAGGCAACTGCTCCCATGTGGAATCAAATCCAACCATTTCTCATTACCAATCTAAATATGTGTAGAATCAAAAACTTTTGCAAGTTAATAAAAGAATACGAATAAGCAGTCATGAGTATGCTATCTGAATAAAAAACAGAAAAAGCTGTACAATTATTTACACACGGCAGCGATACACCCGTAGAGTACACTAAGAAGATCGTGATGTGTGACAAATGGAAGAAGCATGATCAAACGTACCGTACCAAGAACAACTAGGGACATTAAACTAGCCATTTAGGCCTTCTCTGTTCATCCACAGGGAATATATAAATCATAAACTACGGTCTCATTGGGAAATATGTTAAATAAGTTTGTAATGAAGCTAATTTTCTTCAGTGAACAAACAACATTTTCATTTGCGAAATCTTAATAATATTATTATTACTCCCATGAAACGAATTTGTTTGCAAAGTATTGTTTAACTGGGCGTAGTAAAGGAACTTTATATTTCTCTTAATTTATTCAAACGCCTTACTTTATTCTGAAGTTAGTTTCAAATGGAGCTGCTATAAGAAGGATGAATTCAAAAATCCAATTAACTTACAATAGGGTATTTTAATATCAACAATAGGCAACAATTATAAAATCTGGAGATCTCATTGAGTTGTTCTGAATGTGGTTAATACTAAATAGTCACTACTTGAACCTAATGTTCAAAAACTATTTGCGAAGTCCTAATACCAAACAATTGTTGACTAACTATTCTTATAGATAACCCAATTCTCTCTAATACATTAAAAACTTAGCTTAGTTTCATTTTTTAATAGCATCTTTATGACGTTTTACTAGTTTAGTTACTTCCTGAAAATAAGAATTTTAACTGTGGAAATTTACAAAATAAGATAGAGGTTTGTGGAAGTCATGAGGCTCACGAATTTTGTGTTATTTATCTAAGATAACAAGATAAGATTCAACATTGCGACTTATCTCTGTCTGCATTTGATCGCAAGTGAAAGATTTTATCTTTCTACAAGCTACCTCTAATACTTGTCGAGTTTTAACAAAAACATGTCGTTCCGCCCCTGTTCACAAGATTAGTACGTTCACGTATAATATAGTAGTAATTATATAAAGTATGAACATGTTACAAAAGAACGCAGCTCATAACACGGAAGAATCCAATTGTCGAATGTTCGGAGAAATAGCATTTACGTTGGTCGTCTTATCAGAGAAACAAACGAGTACCAGAAACGCTAGAACCTTATCGCTAGAAACACACTGCAGTACCCAGACCGCTATTCTTAAATAAAATTTAACAAACATAAAGATTGCGTCGTTATCGGTGTGGTTTGAATTTGACATTTGTATTTCTCCATACTCTGCTTATGACACTTTGATGTACAATATAGTATACATAAGATAGATATAAGTAGTTAAGATTTCATCTGACTTTAAACACTTGCAAGTGTTGTGTATAAAAATTGAAGCATTAATTTACACAGTCAATACATTGTTAATAGCTAATCACTAAAAATACATACACATACATAAATATATTACTATGTACAGTGCAAATGGGCTTGCGTGATTTATAAAATACAAATATACTTCAGTTATATATCGCATTTGCGTAAAATATAACAAATTATGGCTTTGGCAAAATTGCAGCGAGCTATGGGAAACTATTTCACGATTATACGAAGGAAAGAAAACCGTGAGCCGACACATATTGAACCAATATGTATATAACATTGCACTTTTTATATCGAAACAAATTCAATTCAATTTTAATTACAATAACATAATGAAATTCACGATCCTGGTGCTTCGTATAAACCTAGAATTAAAATTAAACAGTATCGCCGCGAGTGTTGGGCAGATGTGTTTGTTTATCCGGCGCCTGCTTCCGCCGGAAGGTCACGTACGTGTAGAGCAGGCTGGCGAGCACGCTGATGTTGATTCCAATGCAGTTAAGCCATGAAAAGACATAGTCGCCCCCAATAAACATTCCCAGATATGTTACACAGATGTTTTTAAGGCAGCCCACGATAGTGGTGGTCAGTGCGGAGTTGAATTGCGTGCAGAGAATGGTGCTGTACGAGAGTATAAAACCCATGACGCAGCTGAGTAGGAATTGCACCACAAAGTAAGGATCGTGCCAGCTCTGGAAGTTGAGCGCTTTATCCAGATCACCAGTCACAAAGTTCAGCGCCAGGGCGGGCACAAACATGAACAATGAGTTGTAGAACATCAGTCCATATTTCCCGATCTCCGAGGTATCTAGTTTCTTCTTAACATACACGCCGTTCGAGGCGGTCAACGCATTCGTTATCATTACGTACGTGTATCCTTGCATGTTAAAGGACAGATCGTCGGAAGCCGCGAGCAGGGCGCCACCAATCATGGCATACACGCTGACCTGTACGGCAGTCGAGGGTCGCACGCCGAGTATTTTTAGCTCCAGGAGCATGGTCATCAGTATAGAGAAGCGACGCAACGCCGCAAACATGGGCAAACTCAAGGCCTGTGTGCCACCCAAGCCGAACATCATGTTGCCGAGGAAGATCAGCGGCAGTGGAAAGATTTTTGTGAACGTGTTTCGCTGCAGGGGCGGATACGAGACTAGCTTGAAGCGTTGGGCCGCACTCAACACCACAATGCTGGCAGTCAGCTGACCCAGGCTGAGGAACAGAAACGAGGGAAACTTGTAGGATGTGAGCACTGTTTTGTTGACCACTGTGATCATAAACGAGGCCAAGCCGTAGAACAGAGCGCTGCCCACTTTCTTCAGATAGATGGAACGATCCTCTCTGCTGCTGAAGCTGCCGCTGCGCAGTTCCTTTGAATGGGAGCCATTCGAGCGGGAGGAAATGTCTTTCCCTCCGCCACCGCCTTCATCATCACTGTGGTTGCTGCTGTCGAGCAATGGCGCTAAATCTAGCGTCGTGCTTCCGCCACGCGTGTTACTCATGCTAATTACTTTTTGTGCTTGGATTTACGCCTTCGTGTTGGTGTTTGTGTTCGTCAAATGGTTTTTTCACTGTTGTACATGAGATTATGTTTGTGTTTTATAACGCAGACACAAAAAGGTTTGAAGTTTTACACTGCGCAATTAATTAATTGCGTTCACTGTATATTTGTTTACTGGAAATCACATATTTTCAACTCCATTTTCAACTTATAATGCCCATTCTGGTACTTAAGCGAGTTATTTTTACCGACGCGCACTCTCTCACATTCTGTCCGAGCGTCGGTCGATGGCAAACTAAACATATGACGGGCACGAGTGGCCAGAGAACGATTGCCGCCTGTTAAGCAGCGGAGAGCGCAGTAGGTCACATTTCTCAAAGTAAATAACTGAGCAGTTCCAAAGTGCTTCAAATAGCCAATTAGTATAATGTTTTACTTACTCTGGACTAACTATACTTGAATTACACAATTGTTTACATGAATTTGAAACGAATTTGTCAATGAATTAGTCACAGGGCTGAGCAAACGACAATAATCGGTCCTATCGATATATTAAAGTGTGGCAAGGCTTTTTTGCATTAACCGTGACAACCCTATCTGCCCACAGTTGTTTCAGCTGTGTATGTTTTTTTTCAATTCGTGGATGGGGTCGGGTTTTGTTTATATTCGTGAAGTGTTAAATATAGTGTTTGATCACAATGAGTAGCTCGAAAAAGAAAAGCAAAACGGACAAAATCCCAAAGCCGATAAGTATAAAGAAAGAAAAAACAGAGGAAGACCGCACACTGCATCCGATTTCGCACTACATTGACGACCGACTTGCACTTGTAAAGCAAATATTTTGCACTCTCAAGCCCAAAACGATACGGAATCTGGCGCCGGAGTTCTTAAAGAAAACAAATCTAGACGAGATTGAGGAGCTGTGCCTCAATGAGCTACTCTGCATATCCACCAAGCGCTTGAAGTCAATTATAGATGGCACACGCTGTCCCACAGATACGGAGAGCTCCGAAGATTCTGATGTGGAGCACCAAGAGGGTAAGTGGCTAAATGCTGACTTTTAAATATGATCAACAATTGCAATTATTGCAGAGCACATTTCGCTGGAGGAGATCTCGTCGGATAGCGATATTGGTGGCAGCGAATCGCGCAGAGGTAAACACAAAAATAGCTTTCATACGTTTAATTTAGTGCTAGGCAATTACTCTGTTGATGTCAGTACAGCTGCACGCCTTATGTGCCGTACTTGAATTTCTCACAAGCCAAAAGTGGCGCCACGTAGAACGCACGCAATATGCAGACATCCTCGCCCACACCAAGCACCACGTTCTCCTCGTTTTCCTTGGCCACCTCTAGGGTAATCACAAAGTCCCCCACTTCCAAGCAGCCCTTGCGACGCATGTAATCGACGCCAAATTCTATTGGACTGTACTCGCATTCGTTTAGCTCCTTGGCATACATCACTGGATGCATATTGCGGCGTAGATGCAGAGCACGGGCCAAATTGAACTTGCACAATATGGTCGGCCGGTCATCATCGTCATTAAGCGGCATCATCACATAGACTGGGCAATAGATTTCTGTTCTAGACAGCGCGACGGCGGCATTTTCACAGGTGGTATACAGGAAAATAGCTTGGCATTCGATTGAGCTGATTGTGCGAATAATGAAGTTGACAACCGTTTGAAACGATGTCATTATGTTTTTGACTAGTGCCTTCGTCTGGACCATGCCTACACGGTAGTCGCGTACTGGCATCAATTTTTTCACTATCAACGGATACTTGTTACACCAAGGACTCTTCTGTATGTGTATCGAATCGATCTTCCAGAGGAATTCGTGCAATTCGAATCGCTTGAAGTCGCTGCAGCGCTCTAGAGGCACAGTGCCAATTACCGGCACCTTCTGGCACCGCGATATTGGCAGCACGTCGTCCATAATATAATTATAGACACAGCAATTCACATTGAACATATCGGGTATCCACAAATAGTCGAGCAGCTTGATGATGCCCAAGAGATCGAGCATATTGCAGCGTACATACTCGAAATCCACCATGCCAATCAGCTTCATGTCGTACTCCTCACGCAGAGATTGGCGTACGGCTCGTAGGAATGCCTTGCACCGTATTTTGGGCAACACCACATAATTGGCCTTGTAATCGACTGCGATTTGCAAGTCCTTCATGAATAGTTCCGGGTAGATGTCGGGACTTAAGCGATGGCATTGCTGAGGCAACTCAATGAAATCATAAGAGGCCAAGAGGCCTGCATCAATTATGAGCACAGCCACCGCTTCTCGTAAAGTTTTCACCACACGACAGCGCACGTCGCGTCCAATTATTAGCATATCACCCAACTTGATGGAACTGAGATAGTACTGTAGATTAATCACGAAGAGAATCTCCTTGAAGCCGCTATAGCGATAGGCTTCATTCGTGGTCAATGTGACGACAGAGCCGCGTGCCATCAAAACCGTGCAATTGTTCCGTAATCTGCCCACGCGACAGCATTCGCCATTGATCTCCAAAGCCAGTGCGGTGACCACGCGTAGCTCTCGCTCCGCTTCAAAGGAAGAAATCGCAATGTGTAGAGTATCTAGAATGGTATTAAGTTCATCTGGTTTATTAGCCACCGCATCCACGTGAAATGTGAAGACGCCGTTCTCCAGCATTCGTCGTAACTCTTCTGGTGTTGTTTCCATTACGATTTTAGCCACTAGCCCCATATGATAGTAGCGACGATGGCGACGCTTACGTGCATGCTTTTCATGCGCGTCGCAGGCAGCCTTGAACTCAAGCAGACGCTGTTCCAAGTCCTGTTGTCCATTCAAACGTATCCTGAATTCCCCTAGATTGTTGTCGCTATTGCATTGCTCCTCCTCAGCCTCCTCACTGTCCAGCACAAGTGGCGGCTGTGCATCTTCATTCACAAGTTCCATGGCGTGCAGCTAATTTTGTATGCGTTAATGCTACCAATTTAATCGTTGTCTGTTCTGTACGAATTTATATTAATCTATGCTATTATAAAATACAATACTTCTAATAATTTCAGCTAAAAAAAAGAAGAAACTTTCCACAAAGGGGACTGGTAAAACAACCGAAAATAAAGCACGTAAGTTTAAATATAAAATAAATAATTACTTTGCCTTAACGAATGCAAACTAAATAAATGCCTACTATATCAGCCGAAGGACAGATTAGTGTCCTAGAGCTACTTGAATTACAGGCTCGAGCGCGCGCCATACGGTCCCAGCTGGCCATGGAGCCCATAACCAAAATTGAAGTGAACTCTGATGAAGATAATCCTACCACAGGTCAGAAGGAGAGGCAGTCAAGGAAGCAGGACAAAACAAGCATCAACCGGAAAGTCGTTGAACGCAAACGTAAATCATCCAGCAATTCCAAGGATAACCCCAGCAATGGCAAGGATGCTTCACCACAAAAGCAAACGGTTGAAGTGGCTCCTAAAAAAAAGATCAAGTTAAAACGAAACTATCGCAATGTCACAAAATCCCCTGAAAATGTGAAATCAACTGAAAAAAGTGTTGAAATCCCAACTACCTCAGAGCAAAGCCTTAAAAAGCTCCACGACAAATCACGCTCGCCCTCGCCAGATGTTATACCCATACAAGCAGAGCCTGAAACTTTGCTAATAAGCGACAGCACCGACGATGAAGCCAAACAATCCAGCGAAGCAGCTCCTATCCAAGCTAAGGCTATTGAACCCCCAGCTCCACTTACACCGGCTAAGGATAGCGAGCCGGAAGAAGGCGAAGTGACAGACGACGATGATAAAGTCAATGAAGGGTCAAAGGTACCAGAAAAGCCAGAAGAGAAACAATCTGAAAATGAAAGCACAGTGGAGACTCCAAAAGAGCAAGATGTTGAAAAAGCAGCCGAGGTTTCCGTTGAGAAGGAGAGTGTCAGAACCGAGCCGGAAGAATCAAACATTAGTACTATAGAAGATGCAGCGGCAGCAGAAAGAAATTCCATTGTTGATGATGAAGATCAAAATGACGATATCATATCTATAGGCGGCGATTTAGAAAACGAAATGATTGAAATAGAAGAGCTGGCCAACGAAGTATCTGTAAAAAACGAAACAACGGAAAATTCAAACGAGCCGGAGGAGGAAGACAACGATGTCATATCGCTGGAGACTAGTGAGGATGAGCGTGATAAATTGCAGGAAATAAATCCGGAGGTAATAAGATGCAAAATTCAGAACGCATGTACAATTATTTCACTTAAATAACACGATCTCATCCCTTCAGCTTTATCAAAAGGATGATGGTATTTAACCATAAACGATACATTTTCAAATTTAATACTTTTCCGGTTTAAATATGATAGTCTTGCTATTAAATCCAAAGCTCGAAATTTTTAGAACACAAAATTCACATTTGCCATTATTAACTAAAAACTAAACATAAACTCGATACCATTTTATAACAATCTAATATCATCAGTACGATATTGAAAAATTAATACAGATAAAATTTCGTAACAAAAACGCGTATTAAACTACTCGTATTACTACAACGTTAACCATTTAGACCTATCCAAAGTCTATAAAAATAACATAAATTTCATAGGAAATTTCAAGCTTATCAGATCAAAATATATCAAGAAAATTACAACAAGCGGCGACTATTAAAGGTTTGTACATAGTACTTATTACAAAATAGAGTCGCGCACAAAATACCTTTATTGATTAAAGATCTTCGACACGAGCTATATTTTCCGTCTCCTTTAGTCAATATTTTGTTAATATTTTAATTGTGTTGCTTTGATGTAGTGATCTTCTAATGATCCTCATTAATCACAAGTATTGTTAGAAATTTAAAAGGGAAATTTAAAAATCAAGAAACCCTTTACAAGCTGATTACTATTTGGTGCAGTCTTAGGTCAATGTTAGGATTCCTGCTTCTTCTAATGCATACTTTACGTCGGTCTGCTGATACGACTTTAGAGAAGCAACTTAAATGTCCGCTTCTTCATAATATAATATGTATGCCATTTGTTTGACATCTTAACTGATACGATATGCCTGAGGTGGGATGTTTTTGACACACTTTAAGATCATTTTGAAGTTCTACAATTTTTAAATTGAAGTCATGTTTTTTGTCAAAATTTTATTCTTGATTCTAATCGCCATCATATTGTATTGTTAAAAATGAATTGTTTTTATGTCCTTTACAGTCCTGGCGCACTCGCTACTTGAAAAGCTCAAAGGTTAGCCAAGTGCTAGCTGCCTCGCGTCTGGGCAAGCGAGTGCGTGATAAAATCAAGAAATCCAAACATGCCCAAAAACGCAATGATGACAAGAAGGACGAAGAAGCGGCGGCAGCAGCGGCAGCGGCACAGGCCCAATTCACTTCCAAGCATGAGGATGGATCCGTGGAGCAGTATCAGGAGCTACTGCAGCACCACCAACGAAAAAGTTCAAATGGAAGCAGCAAGGGGGGCGGAGGCGGGGGTGACAAGTGAACGAAACGATTGTTATTGAAAAGTCACAAACGGGGGAGCCGTCTGAGCTGCCTCAGTATGCGGCCCCATAAAAGGAAATCGAATAAAAAACAACAAGCCCAAGAAACGCACAAAAATTTGAATATTTCGTGCTAAGCGCATATTTGATTTCTGTTTTTAGTTTTGTTTGTAGTTTAAAAGAAATGCGAAAACTATGCCTTGTCATTTCCGGCATACATTTGGGACTTCCCCTCCTTTCACTTTTTCTTTCTATTTGAAACCTCGGTGGTTCGGCGGTGCGGTAGTGCGGCGGTACGGCGCGCAATTAACGAACCGCACGCTACGCATTTGTGCATGTTTTTTATTTTTCTCTTTTTGTTTCGTTGTGTGGGGTGCCAGTCAGCGCACAGAAAGTTTTTTTTGCGTTCTTTTGAAAAATCATTAACAAATTTTATGGTTGGGTTTTTCGTTTTTGGCGCACAAATATTTACGAGCAGGAGCGCTCGGCTGTGCGGCTGTTTGAAGTTAACCTACATAGGTTTGCCCACAAACACATTTTCCATTTGTCATTCGCTTTACCTATTTCTAATCATGCGGTGTGTTTTAGTTTAGCAAGGACGAGGACACAGCCAGCCACCCTCCCAGTGTCATTGGCAGTGGCAAGTTGAGCGGCAAAGCGACTCGGGCTATAGCTCAATTATGTGGCCCTCTGCGGGGGTTTCGGGCTGCCAACCTTACCATGGTATTGCAATATAAACGATGATTGTTTTATCAAAGACTCTGCCAGCGTGTTGATAAAGTATATTAAAAAATATATATGAGCAAAGGTCGAAAGAGCAAACATCATCAGAATGGGGGAGCTCTCTCTCTCTCTCTCTCTCTTTGTTTCTCTCGTTCTCGCGCTCCCTTTAAGAGTGCGACTCTGCAGCACGCATGTCCATCATCATCAAGCCCCGACCGAGCATGGCGAGGGTGTAACACAAATACATATAAACGCATATGTACATATGTATGCATATATGTGCTTGTGTGTGAGTGTGTGTGCTCGCGAATCCATCAAGTGGGCGCGTTGTATACACACATAAAATTCGCATACACACCTAGCAACAAACAAAATATTCTTAAAATATAATTATGCGCATACCTAATTTCGCAATTTCTTTATTAATGTAAAAACCCATTTTTTAAAAACCGTTCATTTCTTGATGATCGAGTATATCCGTTAAGCGTTTATATCTAAAATGTCACAATAAATAAAAGTCTTTAAATTATTACTTAAATTTATATATATTTATTTCAATATCAATTCAATATATATATTTATTAAAACCTAAAAAAGATTACAAATTTAGCTTTCAATACAATTTGTGGTTGTTATTTAGAATAGTTTCAGGTTTTTGGGTTTGTGTTTCGAACGCTTAATCCAGATATTGGAAAATATGAGATATTTAGAGAGGCAAATCGACTTAAGACACAATTATTAAATAATTTTTTGCGAAAATATGAAACTTTTCTTGTGCCGTTGCTGTCAAATGTTTGCTAGGGACTAACAAATAACTATAATAAGATATAAATACGGATATACAAAAATGGTTAGTAGATTTGCTGGAAATACACAAATTCCTATTTATGCCATTATGGCTCTCAAGATGAAGTTGGCGTCGAATTATACTTGACCAGTCTTACTTACCAGTATTAATTATTTAAAACTAATATTCAACCTTTTAAAAAGTGTTTTTTTTATTTTTTTTTTCGTTAATTATGAAATGACCGAGTTTTTATAATTTTCAGCTTCTTTTTATTATAGTTTTAAAAAATATAAAATAATATATAACATGCTAAAAGAAACGACATACATACTCGTACATTTATCTGTATCGCTTAAAAATAAAATAATAGAACATATTGGATTCCTTAAATCTTTAATTATTTCATTTAATCGCGCCCCATACTGTGCTATTGAGTTTTATTTCGCACTGGCTGCCCTCAACTGGAGGACCCTCAATTTAAAAGAAAAGCGCATGCTGTGTCTAATCAAGCTACCAGCACATGTTCCACCGTCCCTCCTCTCCATCGGACTCCCACACCATAGATCCGAAAAGCTCGACAAACGATGAACGACATGGACGGGAAAAAGTAAACAAAATAGCAACAGAGCGCCCGACACTTTGATGTGAGGCCAAAATTGTTGCTGTTTCCTTCTCTGGTGGTTGTTTTAGGTACGCGCGCTCTCTCTGTCTCTCTATCTCTCTTTTTTACATCTCCTCGTAAGTGCGTGAGTGTGAGTGTGGGTGGTTTCACTTGCTCGCATCCTTTTTGGTAACTGCTTCGCAGTCTGTCGAACGGAAAAACTCAAATCAGTCTACAGAAAACGCGCACGTGGTGAAGAAGTAGCCGCGGTCGGCTTCAGTCTCGGCGTGTTAGACTTGTCGGTATGATAAATAAGTGAAACACCCTGTACAAGTTCTGTAAGTTAAACCAACAAGCACAAAGCAAAAAAAAAAAAAGAAAAGAAAGAAAACGAAAGGCAATCACAACAGCCGCAGCAACAAAGCCAAAGAGCCTGTTACAACAAGAATTGCTGTCTCTTTATAATAACATCGCCTACTTGTTCGATTTGAGATGTGTTCGTGTGAGAAATTTAAATTTAATAAAACAACTGCAACAACAACAAAACCAGCTGAACAAGAAAGCCTATAATGTAGTCTTGCAAGGATTTGTAAGCCAAAATTAAACTTGGAACACAAAGTGCTGGCAAAGCTAAGAGTTTTCTACAAAATTTTTTCTATAAATGCAAAAAATGCAACAAAAAATACAAACTTAAGATTGTGCTAAAAATGTGCTTTATATAAACAAAGAAAAAAATCAACATAATACACACATATAATCAATTACAAAAATAAAATGTTACAAATTCTGATATTAGCCAATAATGAATTTTTAATATTGTTTAACATGGCGCCGTTGTTCGTGTTCATGTTCATGTTCAAGTTTATAATGTTGCGCGTTTATTTTCATATAAGTTTACACTTAGGATTAAGGTGCGCTCTCTGACTAGAGACATTGTGAGTTCAAGCCGACAAACTATATAAGCACTATGACATGCATAAACTAGCCTATGTACATATACTATATACAACTAGTATCAATATACATATATACTCAAATAACGCTATTCCCAATTGCTTGCTTTCAAATCGAATTTAATCAAATCAAAAATTGGCTTAATCAAAAAAAATACAACAGGTCCACAAAAAAAATTTATAAAATTGGCTTGCTGCGAACAAAACTGCAATAAAATTGTCTGAAAATTGGCACAATTATAAACTGTATTGCTTAATGCTTGGCATAATACCCCGTTCCAAAAAAAACTATACAATATTTACATATTTAAATAACAAAAGCGTTTATTTCCATTCCAAAGAAAATTGTGAATTCGTTTGGAAATGACTTGTATTGGCTTTGAAAAAGTAATGGAAATAAATGCGCAGCAACTTAGACAGATACATTTTTGTAAACCTATAGTAGTAGCTGCAACAATTATCCAACAACTCCTTAGTGTAGCTTTTAGACGAATATTGAAAAAATATCAGAAATGGTCGATAATTTTTGGATTATTTATCTGATATTGAAATTATTCGTATAAGTAAAAAACATATGCATGTATATGGGATAAATAAAACTGGGCTGTAAAAGGTAGTAAGCTATTCAATTGTTTTTTTTTCACATTTATTTGACGTATTTGGCGGTATCTTTCATATTCTTAGATATGAAATATTATAATCCTTCCCATCGTTCTTTCCTCGAGAAAATATGGCATTTTCCTTATTGGTATTCTTAGTAGTATGGTCATAAATTATAACTGAGATTTTGAATTTATTTATTTAAGTGAAATAAATTGTAATTATTGCACGCAATAGGAGCGAATGGGGTTGACACAGAAGTGAGAAACCGACTGACGACGGGATTACAAGAAAATAAAAAACCAAGCTTGCTTTAAACTGAAAGACTTTTCCTACACCGACTCGTAAGACTACGATTCCATACCCTTTGCAACCATGTCCTTTGCGATTCGAGTAGAACTTTCAGGATTCTCCAACAACCGATATCTTGTGTAAAAATATTATCTGTACATTCCAAGTAATATTTTTTTGGAAAAATGTGAGCAGTCGTATTCTAAATAGAAAGTTACTGCGCTGCATTATAAACAGAATACCTTATAGCACTTTTTTTAAATAAAACGTTTTGTTTATACTTCCGTATGTTATGCTGTTAGCGGTTCGGTTAATGTTTCAAGCAACATTTTATTATATCTTTATATCCATTTATTTTTCAACTGTCTACTTTTAGGCTTTTTTGTTGCCATGACGCACACACATAAAGACACATGCGAACTTATGGAATTTAATTGGAATAATAAATGTTGTGTGTATGCTTTCATTTTTATTAAACAAAATGCATAATACGCGTCGTTAGCTGTACTCGTACGTCAGACGGGCAGACAGATAGACAGACAGACAAACACATCATACACAGATAGAAAGACACGACAACGCCAACACACACATACTCGTACAGATGATATGTCATAAAATTTTATTAATAATGAAAATTGTACTAAAAATGGTGGGGCAATTTATTAAAAAGTCTCATTAAGTGACAACCACACACAGACACACATGGGGACAAGTATTTAGAATTTTATCGCGCAATACGCATACGCCATGAGGGACCTGAGGGTGCTAATAACGTTGAAATAATAATGCGCCTGCCTTTAACAGTAAAAATAACGAACGGAACAAAAAAAACGAGAACAAAATGTTTGCGATAAAGTAAAATTTCGATATGGACATGATTAAAGTGCGACTGTCCCACACACACACACACACTTACACACACACACACACACAAACGCACAGTGAATCTTTATGACAGTAGAGGGTGAGTTTTGGAGCCGGCATAATAACTCTCTTGAATGTCAGCCTGTCATCGTGTTTTGCTGCCCGAATCGTTCAGATTAAGTATTTTTAATGCGAGTGCGACTGACTGCAATAAAAGTATAAAAAAATTTCAACGATAAGCTCCGCATTGGGTGCTGAGAGCGCCTGTTGGTAAGCAACGTCAGCTCGCGAAATAAATTTCA